TCTCTCCCTCTCTCTCTCTCTCTCTCTCTCTCTCTCTTCATGTCTATCTATCTCCTCTGTGTCTCGTTCGCGCGTTCGCTCTCCCTTTCCCCCTCTCTCTCTCTTTCTCTCTCGCTCTCTCGTGACCTCTGTCTCTCTCTCTCTCTCTTCATGTCTATCTATCTCCTCTGTGTCTCGTTCGCGCGTTCGCTCTCCCTTTCCCCCTCTCTCTCTCTTTCTCTCTCGCTCTCTGTCACTCTGTCTGTTCTTCTGCATGTCTCTCTCTCTCTCTCTCTTTCTGCATGTCTGTCTATTTCTTTGAGCCCCCCTCTCTCTCTCTGCATGTCTATTTCTTTGAGCCCCCTCTCTCGCTCTGACACTCGCTGGCCCTCGCGCGCGCTTTCTCTCTCTGCATGTCTATCTATCTCTCTCTCTTTCCCTCTTTCTGTCTCTCTCTCTCTCTCTCTCTCTCTCCCCTTTTCTCTCGCTCGCTCGTTCGCTCTCACTTTCCCCCTCTCTGCCGCTCTCTCTCTCTCTCTCGCCCTGTCTCATCCTCCCCTCACTCTCTCCCACCCTCTCTGTCTCCCTATCTCTCTCTCGCTCGCTCTCTGTCTATCAGTCTGTCACTCTGTCTCTCCCACTGCGTGTCGCTCTCTCTCTCTCTCTCTCTCTTGCTCGGTCGTTCTCTCTCTCTCTCTTGCTCGGTCGTTCTCTCTCGCTTTCCCACCTCTCTGTCGCTCGCTCGCTCGCCCTCGCACTCTCTCTTTCTCTCTCCCCTCTCTCATCTTCTCTAGTATAAACATCGTATAGCTCAACCCGGGTGTTACGGAAGCATACACTACGAGGCACATGCACCTTAATTCGTTGAGGTTAAGGTTACCCTTAAGTTACCCAACCGACAGTTAACACTAAATAATTTGTTGATTGCCTTGACGTCCTATTATATGTACAAGTATATTGTCTGCCTGCTCGTGTAATTACTAATGAATACAACGCATTAATAACTATAGCTTCATCCATTACTCCATTTATATAATGGTAACATGGTATTGATAATTGTGTATGAAGAATGTGTATTTGCAATGACGTATCTGCTTGCGGTGACCAAATGCTACACTCACGCCAGAGTCAGCGATAGACTCTAGTCTACCGGAGAGGGAGGAAGAGGCAAGACGCTCAAAACCACCGGCACCAAGAGCTACGTATAGCGTAAGATCATTGAACTATCACTATCATGTATTGATGACTGTTGTATTGTGATTGCTGGGGTCAAGTAAAAGATCGCATTGTACATAGCCAAGTACGGCCTATATCCGTGTTGATGGCTCGTTTGTCGTTGTTGGTGCATAACGGAACGTGCCTGAGCAGTACGAAGTACACGACCCGACGTGTCACCATATGGGTACGATCACGGCCCTGATCCAACCACCACGCCACAGGGGGGAACGTTACATACGATACGTATACTTTTGCGTCAGTACCATCACATAGCAGCAAGAGTCAATCAACACGCTAATGTTAATGTGTTGATAGCAGTGGGAAATAACACGTTTGTGTCATGTACAATTCTTGCGGCGCAAATAAGTTACAATGCATCTCCTTGGTATGGTGAAATATGGCAAGTAATGATTTAAAATCTGCGTTGAGTAAAAACTTTTAATTTTAATTCTAATTCAATGCATTCTAAACAAGCTTTAAATGACAAAACGTCCGTATTTCGTTGTATTCTAAGAAATTATATAGCATACAAGTGACATTATTCATGTTGGATAATAGCATATTGTGCAAAAAAAACAACTGCGAAAATTACAATGCTAGCCGTGTCTAATCGAATAGATTACAGCGCATCACCACTACGTACAATCTTATCCAAGCACAAAATATGGCTTACCTCCTATCCACCACCAGTGTTGTAGTGACTAGAACTAACGAGGTCTGTAAAGCATAACCTTGCGTTTAGCGTTGAACATTTCTACTTTATTGCGAGAATATCCATAAATGAAAGTAATTTGGAATAAGTTATCGATAATGATTGATCAATGCCTACACCCTAACCTAGACATAACTGACATTACAACACTGTCAAACAAACAATACTAAATTACAATAGTCCTGAGATTAATAGCTAAAAATTATGACTTTGGAGCTTCAAATCGTACTCGAAATAAAGTTAATCTGAGGAGAAACGCAAGACAAAACATATGCGCTAGTGTATGAATAGGATGGAGAACACACCAAAATAAGGCCAATATTAATGCGATGCGTAGAACACTTATAACAATTATGTCTCTGCACTAGCTCCATCATTTATAGCCAGCGTACAGTCGGTCAAGCTTATTGCACGAGCGAGGACAACACACCTAGCTGTGAAGTAATGCTCTAACATGCTGTATGCCACCACGCACACGTTAGTGAGGCGAACCTAGTCATTCCACACGAGACTCACATATCTTATATAAGACATTTTCCATGATATACCAGGATACTGATGCGTTACTCCGCACAGAGAGATAACTGTACTATACATTCGTACTCACCTAGAACCACGCTAGCCAAGGGTGATTAAACGCACTCCACTCGTAAATCAGGAGGCGCGTAATCACATGAACACAATGATTACTACACAGATCGACGGCAGTCATAGCTTACCTTAACAGTGAAGAAGTGAGGGTGAGAGCGTAGAGGTGGAAGGTAGGCTCTTAATGATGTCCCAAAATACTAAGTTCCGCTCCGTGGTAAAGATGCAACTACGCTAGTCGAGACGAGATTAGTCGCGTGCAACGAGTTTGTCAATCACCAATAATCCAATTAGAATGAGCCATAATATCCCATTCATCCGCGAGTGAGCACGTCGAGAGACACCTCTTACACTCCCATTGAGTTCCTCATAAACAATAGGGTAGCTCACGTGTCACTGCGATATTGATTCAATATAACTAATTCTTGAGCCGAGGCAGGCGTGTGTGTGCGACACCAGTAGAGAGAGACAGAGGATAGTGGTAGACACAAGATACACGGCATATAACATCTTGTTTAGAGACAGCGGACTGTACATCTTTATACGCTCGTAAATTATGTAGCGTACTCCGCGTAACTACAACTGTACGTATTCGCCACGTTTATGCCGGATCAGTTTAAGTAGTGTCAATAAAGAGATTCATGAAATACGGCATACTGTGCGTATCTATAATTCTTCACATTCGAGTTACGTAGGACGCCTAGCAAGGTGTATAAAACTGCACTCACACGCGAACCACGGATACGATCAGCGGGCAGTCATAGCTTCTTTACAGGAGAGTGGGGATGGCGGGGAGGGGCCTAATACAAAAGATGCCGCAGATGGCGCGTGCAAGTGTCCACAATAACAAAGATGCATCACCCTTCGTGCTTGATAAACCTCACTCCTTGATTTGCTCATAAACAATAGGTATAGCGTGTCTGCCCTATGCATAATATAACCGCGTTCGACCAAAGAGAGAGCCGAGACGATAGTTAAAGAGATACAGGCCCCCCCCATAAACATCTTGGTTAGAGACAGCGACTGACAGCTTATACCTCGTAAGTTATGTGAGGTACTCGCGTACCCCTACACGTAACGCAATTCGCACTTTATGCTCGAGCACGAGCGTAGGGTGGTGGTGGGAGAGGGGGAAAGGGCGGGTGGAGGCTCTAAAGCAAAAGCGTTTCCGCGAATGCGCGTCAAGTGTTCACCAAATAATCAAAGATGCATTACCTTCGTGCGTGATAACCTCCAACCCATTGAGTTGCCGAAATCCAAGTATATTCAGTGCAAGCGAGAAATTTCGCCTCAGCTGTGAGTTAACACATCAGTTAAGTACACTTTCATGTCTTTCAATAAAGCCATAAAAAGCTAGTCACCGTAAACAAAAAAGTTTCAATGCTCCTCAGACCATGGTCCTCAGAAAATGTCTAAAACTGCCTGTGCCCCATGACCCCTTTGACCTGTACCTCAATTAGTCGCGCTAAAAATGCTAGGTCCCCCGCTGAAACAAAAAATTTCATCGCTCCGTCAGACCATGTCACTCAAAAATTCAAAATCTGCCTGTGCCCATTGACCTTGACCGGACTCCAATTAAGTGCGTAAAAATCTAGGGTCACCGGCTGAAAACAAAAAATTTTCAAGTCGCTCATCAGACTTCCTCAGAAAATGTCAAAATCTGCCCTGTGCCCATTGACCTTTGACCTGTGACCTCCAATTATGCGCCGTTACATCATGTCATATGCCCATGGTACTAGCGCCAGCAGGGCTGTGAACTATGCCAGTTGACTTGCCCGTTTAGCTTTAGCGCTGCTGCTGTGTTGCTAAATAAGTATACCACAAGATTCTAAGATTGGCCTCTGTGATATCCTCGTTGTCATAACACCCGGGCAGCGTTGCATTGATCTGAATTACTCTTAAAAGTATGCGGACACATGCAGCCATCAACCATTCATCAACATTTCTGGCTGAGATATATCTAGTCAGAAAACCTGAACCCCCGCTGACAGCATACAAAGGCTTTTCTACAACCGTCCGGTCGTGAGAGAATATTTGACATACTCGGCTCTGTGACATATTTCTTTAAAAAAAAATTGGGAAAAAACGGGTTTCATAATGACATCCCTTAAGGGAATGCCTCATCAACCAAGGATTGATACACATCAATCGTTCATCTCCAGGAGGGTGATTTTTCGGAGTAGATAATAGCGATCTTTGTCTAGGCTTCCTTCGACTGCATTCCATGAATACCCACCATCCGAACTCCCCGTCACCCAACGTCGATATAAATAAATTTATAATCGAATAACGATCATCAGCACATGCTCGAAGAATGCTGTATTATGAACACTGAACCCGATTTGTGGAGCACAAAGCCATGTTTTCCGTCAATTCGCTCCTATTGTGTTGGAAACACTTCTCGAAAACCCCTCTGCAATTTTCCAGCCAGTCTCTCTCCGTCATCTGATAAAAAAAATATTAGTCCATGCACAGCCCTAAATAACTTGTTTTAAAATTTATTGGTTCAGGTCAGCCAACATGATAACAAACGATGCTGAAGACTATGTTGGTGTGATGGAGACGACGATAACGATGGATATCCTGAGGTTCCAATGATCACGACATGTCCGAA